TCAGAATGCAGATAGCAGGGATGGCCTTCTAATTGGAACTGGAGCTGGTTTCAAGTAACCTCAACACTGTTTAATACTGCATAATGAGGAAACCTTGGTGATGACATGTCAGATAATAGAAATGACTGTAATCAGTGATTTCTTTGTTTCCCCCTAATGACCACAAAAGAGGGAATTATATGGCAGATGCAGACATTTGGAAATTGGATTTTTAGTTATTTACTTAAGGCAGTCCTCATTTTGTGTGGTGCTGTGTTAAACATAGGTCATGCATACTGGAACCAAGTCCTCTTTTTTGCACATTTTCTTATAACAGATTTGTTTTCAGTTACCATGGAACCTTGCAAAATGAAGACTCGGTTCCAGTATGAACAAGCTTCAGTTAACACAGTACTGTGCAAAATAAGAACTCCTGATATTATCTGGTATTTATTTGCTTACAATGCATCATTTCCAAAATATTACTGGGCTGGGGCGGGGGGGGGGGAATCAGGAATATATATGAAAAGCAATAAGGAACTGGATCCCCTATGATGTCTTAATGGAATAAGAGGGAAGCCTGTGCATGCCCCTATTTAAGCCATTAGTTAGCTCATTTTTCCTTGGTTTGTAATGAAAATTACTTCTTGGTTACTTTTCCTACTATCTTTCTTTATTCTTTAAGGGATGCATCCTAGAAAGAATAATCCAAATGAAAAAACACAAGGGTGGCCATCAGATTCTACTATAGATGTCAAAGACGTTGGGTGACACTATAGATGTCACTTTACCCTTCTGTCAAGTGAAGACAGAATGAATACCTGCTCTTTCCATGCCAAAGGGATACTAGAAAGATAAAGTTTAATCAAAAATAAGTGTAGCAAAAGGCAAAATCCATAAAATGAGGGTCAATTATGATATGGTTGTCACTCCTACACTCCCCAATCCCATCTTTTATGCTCCAACTGTCCCATGAATGGAAATAGAAGGTGGAGAGAGATGTAGGCAAAATTCTAAGACTGGTAGTTGGAAAATTATTGCTGACAGGCAAAATCTGGGTCAATACCTGTTTTTGTCAATAAAGTTTTACTGGAATACTTCCACACCCATTTGTGTATTTATTGTCTATGACTGCTTTCACATTAATGTGCTAAATTGTGCTGTTGTGATAAGACTATAAGGCTCACAAAGCCCAAAATACTAACTCACTGACCATCTACAAAATAGTTTGCTGACCCTGCTTTGCAGTATCTATAGTAATTCCTTTTCTTACTCACTCTCTTCAGCCCCAAACCTGCAAAGAAAAAATATTAAAATTTCTATTTATAGCTATCTTTCATCTCAAAAATAAGAAAAAGATTCAGTTGTACTAAGTTGGCAATGGTTCTATGTGTCACATAACATAATGAGGAGTCCTGAGCAAAAAAGTTCCACAACACAGTGGGGTGGTCTGTGGTACTGTTACTTGTTTGTATGTTTGCAGCACTTAGTGACATACTGCAGTCCCTGTGTGTCCACCTAAGTTGCTTCAGGGATTCTCTCATTTAGTTTTAAATAAACTAACACAAAATGGAGAAAGGAGCTTAAAAGGTTCTTTCAAAGACAACACAGAATGAGTATTCTCATAAGAAGGCAAGCGTAGATAGGCACACCATAGGTAAAAAGGGCAGAGGTAAGCTTTTCTCTCCTAGTATGAACTCTTTGAAGCTTTACAATGATTATGTAATAAAGAAATGTTCATTCTGATTAATCTTGTGTATACACACATGTCCATGTCTGTGTGTTTTGGGGGGGGGGCGGGGCATAACAATTATGCTCTCCAGCAATCATGTCCTATCACACACTTACCTAAGCTGTTTACCCTCTTGGCTTCTTGTGAGTCTTTCCTCCCCACTCCACTCGACCCCACTAAAGCCTACCACCATGTAAAATCAGTGCCTCTTATGTACCTGGGATTAAGAACTGCATTTCTTCATTCCCCTGGGAGAATGACCAGAAAACAAGTCTGTAAGAGAGAAACTTTGTAACTACCCTCTCCCAACTACCCCCCCCACCAATCCCTTCCTGCTAAAACTGTCTTCCTCTTACCATTTACAGGAAAGATGAATTAAAATCTGCTGGGCTGAAGCTTTCAAACCCGTGAACATCGAATCCAAATTAAAATACTAGACTCTGAGAGTTTTAATTTTAAATGGAACCCCAGAGACCTAGGTAAAAACTCCATTTCCTCTTTCACTATATGGAGATGTGGTCAATAATCCTGAATCTCACTTTTCCTCACCTGTAAAGTAGGTGTGATATTTTTTGTCTTTCCCTTCTCATTATCAGGGTAACTTTAGATAGTTTATGAATTGTGAATGGCTTGTAACTTCGAAAACTATAAATATTAGGTAGACTTTGAATCCATACTAAAGACAATAGCAAACAGAAAGGGGAGGGAGGAGGGAGAGAGAGTACAAACCACAGCTTTCTGTGTGGCAGACACTCTGCATACTTTACTTACACAATTTTACTTAATTTTCATAACAACTTCATGAAATAGATGGTGCCTGTTGTCTGACACAAATCGCGCAATTAGTCAATGATCTCAGGTCTGTCTTAATATACCCCTTTAACCATTGCACTGTGTGGATATATACTCTCTACTAGCTATATTGTTTTGGATAAGCAATTTACTCTTTTGGCAACTCATTTTCCTCATTTCTAAAGGGATGAAGAAAAACAACTCCCACAGAGTACTGGCTGCATTATTAAAACTAATCCTGGGGCGCCTGGGTGACTCAATCTATTAAGTGTCCAACTCAGCTCAGGTCATGATCTCAAAGCTCGTGGGTTGGAGCCCTGCATTGGGCTCTTTGCTGACATGACAGCTTGGGGCCAGGAGCCTGCTTCAGATTCTGTGTCTCTGTCTCTCTCTGCCCCTTCTCTATGCACGCTCTGTCTCTGTCTCAAAAATAAACATTAAAAAAGAATTAAAAATATTCCTAATGAAACACTGTTTCTTAGAAGTGCTTATATTCATTTTGCCTTTGACATACCACGATGGAGCATCTATGAACTATAACCAAGGCTTTTCCACCACCCAGTTGTGGGATCTAAACTTCAGCCACCAGCTCCAGGTCCATTTTCTCTTCCAGCACATTGCCTTGCAATGAATTTTGTGGGATTAACTAAGACAACCTAAATGCAAGTATCTAGCATATCTGGCACACAGTAGGTACACAATATACAGTATGTTTTTTCTTCCCTAAATAAACTCCTTCATTCCCTTGGAATATGATCAGCACAATGATTTCATACTCCAGGTAGAAGACTGAAAATCAGGACTGAGGAGAAAGAAACATCAGTTTGGGCTGCCTAAATCAAGGAAAAGCCACAGCTGGGGTGGAGATATGGCCCATGATATATAGCCTGCCGAGTTCCAATTGGCAGTCAAGGGTTCCTTCTTATCAGCATGTGCTTCCTTGGTAAACTTCACTCTCAATTCTTTTGTTTTTGAAGAAAAACATTTCCAGCTAATAACACAATTACACTTAAGTATCAGAGCTCATTTTAGTATTATTGCATTTGTTAAATCTAACTGAGTCCAAATTACTTCCTCATTGCTAATAAGAGAAGGGGGAGGAGTAGCGGGAGGAGGAGGAGGAGGAACAGGAAGAGGCAGAGGAAGACCAAGCGGGAGAGGGTTTCCAGGGTTAAAGGAAGAGAAAGAGATGTATACACAGAGTAACAAGAAAACAGAGAGACAGCAACACTGCATGTAGCATCAAGTCCAATGAATGTCAGTTAAACTTGCTGCCCACGGTTTCTATGGAAACCCCTTAAGTTAAGAGTGGAACACAGACATTTTTTGGACTGTAATTCACAAGCTGTTTATTTAATTATGATGAAACATGAGACCGTTAGGGACAATGCTATTATCAGACTGATAGCATTTAGAATTCAACAAATAGGTATAGCAAAATAAAAAGTTAAAAAAAATTTTTTTAAATCATTACCTTCATGTGAACTATATGCAAATAAAATGTGTCTTGTTTTCTCAGGACTTCATACATTATTTCCCGCAGGCAAACCCCAAATTAACCAAATGACATTCATTAAAAGGGAGTTCTTCAGAGGCCTCATGCCAATTATGCCGCCCCATGCCCAGTGAACAAAACCAAGGTCACAGCATATTTTCAATTAAACCCAGGATAGCACCAAAGTGCAGCCCAGCTGGAAAAGCAAGCACATTATTACCCCATAAATCATTTGTGAGCAATGAATAGGTCTCTGGTGTTTTTCTATTTTATAGATATTTGAATATAAAAATAAAGAAAATCGCTTCAGATTAGCTTTTGCCTTCCAAAATAAACAATCACTTTCAGGGCATTACTCCTGGTGACGCAAAGAAGAATGACTGGAAGTCATCACTTCTTTGTCCCTGATGGTTGGAAAAGGTTTGCTTAGCCTTTAATTTGGCCACAGGGAACCATGTGATTGATGAACTCATTCATACCCTTGTTTTCTCACTAAATGGACATGTAGTCTCTACCGATTGTATATCAGGCACTGTGCTAGGGACAAGGAAACAGGAAGATTAAATCCCACTCCCTAGCTTAATTATGGACTTTTCAGAAGGGAATGCATTAATTTCACTGATACATATTTATGGAAGGACAACTACGGTTCATAGGCATTACTAAATAGATCAATAAATCCAGGATCCTGCTTTCCAGAAGATTACAATTAAATGGAGACAAAAAGACACATTGTCATAAGTCATACAGCAAGGAATGGGTGGTCCTGCCTGCTGCCTCACGATTTCTCCCTGTGTATAGTTACACTACCTATGGATGCTGTACTGCAGAAGGTAAATGTGTCTGTGTGTATGGGATGATTGGCTAGTGGAAGAGGGAGTAGAGAGGGAGCTCTGGGAATATTTCTATAGTGGAACCACATTTCCAGATCTGTCTATGAGCCACCCGTACCCTTATAAAATCTTTAGTGCATAAAGTGTAGTTGAAGGAGGAGGAACTCACAAGAGAAGTGGATCCCAAGGAGAGTCATCTCTGATGTCAAGCTGGGAACAGGAAGGCTGTTTCTAAGCTGGCAAAGAGAAACATACAAGACATTTGCAAATATGGCTCAGTGAATATGTCTTTTCTACTATGCAGCAGCCTATTTTTTGAAATTCAGTAGTGGTTTGCAGTAGCTGGGCTTCCCACAAGTTGCTCGTGCTAGCAAAGCCAGTCATTGCTGTTATTGGATTTGACAGTGTATAATGAGCCACTTCACATTAGCTGCTGTTGTAGTGTTCAGCATATTGTGGGAAAGATTTAGCATGAATCATCACCCACCTAGCTCTCCATTGTGGTCTCTATGCTGTAAACAGGCAACGTGTTTGCCAATCTAAAAAAATAAAAAATAAGAAAGCATCCATTAGAACAATTCAGCACATTTCTGGATCTGCTGCCACCACCACTGCCACAGACAACACTGGTGACAATATTTATTGAATTGCCACTGTATTTTAACATTCTCCTGGGCAGAGAGCCAAGGCAGCTATTTTAACCATTGGACATTTTGAACAATGCATTTTTTAAGGCCAATGAAAAAATGCTATTTGGAGTCAGAAGACCTGCAGTCTACACTTGGTTCTGACTTATCAATGACTTTCAACAAGTCAAATTTTCTCTCATATCCAGTGTCTTCAAAACTACCTCTTAAGATCAAATGAGAGAATATATTTTGAAGATGGACAGGAAATAGTTAAACAGAACACACTGAATTACTAAAGCCAAATAGCATGTTAAGGCTTTTAAAGAGGTTATCGGTTGTCAACTCCAGTTGTTTCTTTTTCCACACCCCAAAACAAGAGAGACACTAACATCTCCTCCTCCTACCCATCCCAATTCCTATGCCTAAGATCCCCTCCCAACATTTCTACAGCAATGGTGGATTACAAAGTACAATCTGAGATTGAGGGCCACACAGGACTTGGAGCAAAGAAATGTGAAGACATAGAGCTGGCTTTTTCCAAAGCATTGTAAAGAAAACTAAAGAATCTTTAATTCCCACAAACACAGATCTTTACAGCCAAAGCTTAGACATACAGTTGGTGTGAACTATACAAAGCGGAAACCCTGGGCAAGTACAGATGGAAAAAGCCCACACAATTAGTAATCAAGATCAAGGGACTGACATGGATAGTGAAATCACCAAGATTCTATCAAGAGTAGGCCTGGAAAGAACAGCAGGGAGGCAGGTGTTAAAATCTTCAAGGAATGAGGAGGAGTGAAGTGTGGGTCTGCTGGGGACTCCTACAAGGAGGTGTTAGCAGGTGGCATAGTCTGATGGTGTAAGCTTCAAAGTGGGGCACTTTAATGTGTTAGATGGTTTTGTTTGGAACAGATAGTGCAAGTAAATGTGCTTCTCAAACTTCAAAGCAATATACCACTAGCGGATATTATTATTATTATTACACAAGTAAACTGTCTATAATGAAATTTTATTTCAAAGATGATCTTTGGATTTTCCATTATTGGTTTTAAAAGATGTGTAACTCAATTATATGGAAACTTTCCCCAAATCTCATGGTTTCAAGAACTTCTGTTAGCACACATGAAATGTGAGTGACAAAGTAACATGTCAGGGATTTATAAAAATGTGAAACAAGACAGTGGGTAACAATCCATATGTGTAGAAGGGGTAAAGAAGAGATGGGAGGAGAACACTCACGTTCATTGTTAAATCAAGTAGCCAATCCTCAGTTCTCATATTAGACAAGAATTAGCAGCATTTGACATAGTGACCACCCTGTTCTTTCTGAAACAATGTCTGCACTTGGCTCCTGGGAAACCACTCCCTCAATTCTCCTTCTATCTCATTGGTTAATCTGCTCGACCTCCATGACTAGTTGTGCTTTATCTCTTAGCCTACTACCCTGGAGTGCACCAGAACTCTGTTAGTGGACCTATTCTTTGTCTATACTCACTCTCCAAGTGGTCCTACGGTGGGTCTAAATAGTATCGACAAACATATACCTCCAGCCTGCAGTACACACTTGTACATAAAACTGCGAACTTGAGAATTCCATTGGAGGCACTGAAAATCGATCTGTCCAAAATAAAGCCCTTGATTCCAACTGGACATCCATCCCCAATAAAGACTTTTCTAAGAGAAAATCCAGTCATTCATGAATTCATTCATTCAACGAAAAAATTTAAGCTCCTACCATATGCCAAGCACAGTTCTGGGGATCATCCTCTGAATAGGTCAGACCAAAGTCCCTTGAGTCTCTATTGTTTCACTTTATCCCACTACTGCGTCCTGTTACCTCTACACTCTATCCCCTTGACGTTCTATTGCCTATACTTTGGTAATCCTGTATACCAAGAATCTTGTCACTTCTTTTCACTTCAACTGTTACATCCTACTCCATTTTCTATCTGTATAATTCAGTGATTCCTATCATTTCCTATATGCATAGTTCAGTGATTCCTATAGCCTGGTCCAATATCTGGTGTCTCTGCTTCTCTTTGTGTGTTTCTTCTGTTTTTTGTTTTGTTGTTGTTGTTTTGTTTTGTTTTTTGGTTTGTTTGTTTGTTTTGCCACACAGTGGAGGGATCCTATCAGAATGAGAGTCAGATCTCATTCATTCTGTTCAATGATCAAAGGCTTCTTACATCATTCACTCAGAGTAATAGTGAAGTGTTTCCAGTAGCCTACGAGACCATTTATATTTTTGTTCTATATCACTCCTACCTCTCTGATCTTATCCTGCTACAACTACTGCTCTTACTCTCACCCTGGTCACTCTGGCTCCTTGCTATTCCTCCAATATGCCAAGAACAGGGCTACCTCAAAAAACTTGCAGTTGCTATCCTTCTGCCTGGAACCTTCTTAACCCAGACAGACCTGTAGCTTTCCATGCATATGACCATGGTACCACCTTTCATCCAAATACCCGCATGCTTTGCTTCTTCACTTCTTTCAGGTCACCTGCTCAAAGAGGCCTTCCTTGGCTACGCTGCTTAAACTATATCCCTTTTCCCCATAGCACTTAATCTCCTTAGTTTGCTTTATCTTTCTTAATCACATTTTTCACAACTAGAGATAATGAGTATGTACGTACGTATGTATGTATGTATGTATTTCCGTCTCTTCCAATACTGTGAGGTCCCAGGACCTGGAGTCTTTTGGATTTGTTTACAGATGGAGCCCCACCAATAGTTCACTTTTACAGATGAGGAAACTAAAGCCCAGAGAAGATAAGTGCTTCTCTGAGAACTTCTCTGGAGAAAATGGAGATTATCAAGCAGGAAAGGCTGTGCAAAGATGGAGAGGATGATGAATCCAAATCAGATCATGTGATAAGGTAAAGATGTTAAGTCAATGAATTCTGTCACTAGATGTAGTAACTTTGTGACTTGCAAATTCTATCACCTTTTTAGACTTCAATTCCTTCACCTGTAAAGTTTAGGTCCAAATACAGAAGGTTGTTCTGAACGTGAAATGAGGTGATAGCCATAGGCCACTAAGCCTGGGATATTGTAAGCTCTCAGGTAATAGAAATGATTACTGTTACCTGACAGTTTCATTCACGGTGTATAAAATTGCTCTACTGATTTGGGGAGGAACTAAACAATTTACCCATTTTTATAAAATGATTATCTCATACTGGCACATGTACTCATCCCCAAATACATGATCATGCCTACGAATGGGAAAATATACCACCTGACCTTTCACGTATCACCATAAAAATTAGATTAGTAATGAAAAAGATGATGTTAAGTTTACCTTTTGCTTATAGTATACATTATAGATTAGATAATTTCTTCATAGATATTATCCTGTCTGACCCTTATATTTATGGGAGGTAGGCAGAAATAGGTTATAATTTTCCATTTTGCAGATCAGAATCTTAAAGTATAAGGAAGTTAAGTAATGTGATCAAGTTTCAAGGGGGCAAGACTAATATAGGATCATTGTTCATACAAGATGTTAAGTATTTAGAACCCTATGCTACTGTTCTCTCCAATACATAATTTTTTAACATGAACAAGCTAAGAGAGGGAAAGATGTACCCATGCCATTAATCATTACTACAATTCTCTAAATTTAGGAACCTGCATTTTGTGCTTTTTTTTTTTTTTAAACACATTGGAGTCTGTTGGATTTGTTTATAGATGTAGCAATGGGAATAATAAAAAGAGCATTTATTGAGCAACTATTTATTAATCAACTATTGTGTTAGCCGTCCATGACATACTTGCATAGTATGTGTCTTTTTGCACCATTAGACAACATGATCTGTTGGGATAGGCACAATATTCCATTTTATGTGCATGTATAACCCAGTTACTGCCATTTAGTATGTACTAAATAAATGTTTCTTGAATAAGTGAATGAAATATTGAATAAGTGAATGGTTATATACAGAAAGAACCAACTAAACATACACCCTGAATCACACAATCCATCAGTATATAAAATTATACAATTATAATATCCATCAGTATGTAAAATTTTAAAAATGCCATATTCTAAATAAAAAACTATTGGCATCAGCAATTTCATATGGTTCAAGCTAACAGTTTCCAAAGAGGGACAGTGATTTTGGAAATGTCCAATTTGTTTCATCAAATTTCTGGAATTTATGGACATCCTTTCAGTTAACTTCTGTTTATATAAATTTTCATGTACCAACCAAAGGAAAAAGAGCCAATAGTTTTATTTTAATGCAAAGTCTTCTAGCTTCAGATAGTCAATCTGTGGAACAGTAATTATAAACAAAACCAGAATAAGGACATTCAGTACTGAGTTACAAAATGTTCATTTTCTATTGATTACCTATAGCAGGGTCCACAAGCATACAGCAGACAAGATACTTGCTCTGCCATAGCCTTAAAATCCAATAGTACAGCCATTTGTACATCATGGAAAACCAAGGTGTCCGTGCTGTTTTTTCTTAATAAAGCTGTTCAAATACTATTAATTCTCAACAGTTCTATTCTGACTTGCTCCCCTGTCATGTAACTTGTCCACAGAGAGAATTAGCCACTTACATATAATTTTTTCTGTAGTATTTTCTTGATTGTACCCCTTATCACCATGTGAGGACCAAGACATCCTATTAATCAACTGCCACTGGAGAACACTGCGTTGGCTATACAAAAAAAAAAAAAAAAAAAAAAAAAAAAAAAAAAAAAAAAAAAAATTAAAAAAAAAAAAAAAAAAAAGAAAGAAAAAAAGAAAACTTTTAAATTAAAGGTAAGTGAGTATCTGAAGTAGAGACACGCATATAAAATATACTTTATATTTTACATAAATATAAGCATTTTATAAATATAAATAATATATAAATATTTTATATGTTACTTAAATATCTCTTTAGCTGCTAGTGGTATCCTAGTTTAACACTGGAGATCAGGATGTGTGGGAATAGGAGATGGTACAACAAAAATGTCCTTGATTTTCAAATAATAGCACCAAGTCAACCTTCTGCTCTAAGCGATCTAAATCTATGGTCTGAAAGGATACATGATACTGTGGTCTGTGTAAATGTGGCATTTATCTTCATGAGTGTATTGATGAAGAATGGATCAGGACTGGCACAGTCATGAGTGACTTATCCCTTTCCTCTTCACAAGTGAAGATAAATGACACAAAATATCAACCACCATGCATTATATATATTTTATTCCACATTTATTCCCACAGACACAAACATACAGGAGGCCTTTTCTTCAACCTGATTGTTTTTTGTTTTCAAAATATACAGCTAACAATAACAACAGAGAACCTTTGGGAAAGTCAGAGGCAATGAAAAATGCTAAAATAACTTCTATAGGACAAGCTTTATCTCATGAGAGGATACGTCAACAGACCTTATCTCTGGGAACTCTAAAATGGCTGCATGCCTCCAAATAGGATTTCATGGGTCTCTGCCTGCTGTCATTAAGCTAATATTATGAGAAATCACAAAGACCCTCCAAGGATACTGCACTAGATCACTCTCCCACCTGTACAAAATTCACTAAGATGGTGGTTCTAAAAGAGTAACTTCCAAGACCTCCTGCTCACACATTATTCTTCGGTTTATTTATTCTCATGATATTCATATTCATTATTCTCAGATGATATGAATTCCTTAACTTGTGAGTTGGATTAGGATACCCTCGTTAAGCTTCTTAAATGGTGGGTAAGGTGGACAAGATACAAAAGGCTGAATAATGGCATCATCAGGGATGTTCTCCCCTCCCCACCCTCATAACTAGATAATGTAGATACCAGTGTCAGCCTGCTGTTGGATATGGACTCTTCTAGGTTGCAATTTGTAGTACCATTAAGAGCATATGGAATCATTTCAAGTTAATGCATTTAAACTTAAACCAGCCCTATTCAGAAGGATCTCGTCCCCTAGATCTAGTTCACTAGAAAATTACATCTAGATTATCAGAAAGCCAAGTCATCTTTTCACCAGAGCAACTGAGAGTTGTAGCCTTTGTCTCCTACTGCCCATACCTGACTTTTCCCCAATGTTGTGAGTCCTATTTTCCAGTTAATAGTGGGCAATGGACTCCAGCTATAGGCAGAACAAACCCTGGCTATCTTCTGTAGCCTCACTCACACAGTCCATCTCATGCTATCATTGTTCTGGATTTACCTCTGATCTTATGCTTTAATGGCTTATACTCTATATACTACTCTGGGAAATAATACCAATTTAGCCCCAAGACCATGCCTCCATATGTATCTGTGATCTCTTAGGAGATTCTTGTCCTCTTCTTTAAGTCTAAGTCTTTGGTAATATATCATAACCCAGATCCAAGCACCTCAACAAAAGAACCTCGCTTGTCTCTTAAAGTTCTAGATATCCAGCATATCACCTAAATCCTTATCATATTGATAGCTATCGAATATATATCTCATTCAACATTAATTAAATGCTTATTGAATATCAGGGACTATTCTAGACACTCAGGATTCTGTAGTGAGTCAGATGATGAGAAACTCTGACTTCACAGAGCATGCCTCTTTGGGGTTAGACAGATAACAAACCAGAGAAGATGAGGTAAAGATAAGTATTGGAATGAATACAAAAGGATGACAAGATAGGGAATTACTAAGGAGAAATATTACATTGATTTGGTCTGGTAAGATCCTTTTGCAAAAGAAAGAGTCGGGGTGCCTGGGTGGCTCAGTTGATTAAGTGTTTGACACCTAGTTTTGGCTCAGCTCATGATCTCATGGTTGGTGAGTTTGAGGCCCGCTTGGGGTTCTGTGCTAGTGGTGTAGCTCCTGCTTGGGATTTTCTCTTTCTCTCTCTCTCTCTCTCTCAAAATAAATAAACTTAAAAGAAAAGAAACACTTAAATAATGACAAGAGAGAACTAGACATAGATCTAGAAGAAAACTCTGCAGGCAGAGAAGGCAGCTAATGTAAAGACTCCAAGTTTGAGAGAGTTCAGTGGGCTCAATGTGTCCCCCTTCAAATTCATATGTTAAATTTCAATGCTGAATGTGATGGTATTAGAAGGTGGGACTTTGGGAAGGTATTAGGTCATTAGGATGAAATACTTCTGAGTGAAAACAGTAACTTAAAAAAAAAAAAAAGGCTTCAGAAACCGCTGTTGCTCCTTCTTCCATGTGAGGACCTGAGAGTCCATACCCTGGAAGAGGGTCATTCTGGCTCCCTGATCTCCAATTTCACTCCTCCAGAACTATGAGAAATGCACTTCTGTTCCTTATAAGCTACCTGGTCTGTGGTGTTTTGCTGCAGCAGGCCAAACAGGCAAAGACAAGAAGCATGATATACTTAAAGTCGGCAAGGGGGAGAAAGAGGCTAGTTTAGTAGGAATAAAGTAGGCAATCATTAGAGTAGGAGATGTGGATGGAGAACGTGTTTGTTTCCTTTGGTTTCCACAACAATTATCGCAGCCTGATGGCTTAAAATGAGAGAAATTGATTCTCTCCCACTTATGGAAGCCAGAAGCCTGAAACTGAGATGCCAGCAGGACTCTCCGAAGACTTTAGGGGAGAATTCCTCCTTACTGTTTCCAGCTCTAGTGGCTCCAGGTTTGCTTTGTTTTGTGGACACATAACTGATCTCTGCTTCCAATGGCCGCCTTCTCTTTTCCATATGTCTTCCTATGGATTGTCTCTTATAAGAACATTTGCCATTGTATTTAGGCCCCATCTGGATAATCCAGGATGATCTCATCCCAAGGCCCTCAACTTAACTACATATGTAAATATAATATTCCAAATAGGGGCACATCCACAGGTTCTGGAGGTTTGGATGTGGATGTATTTTTTAGGAAGCCACCATTCAATCCAGTACAGAGAAGTAGGCCTGCTGGGCCAGGGAAAACAATTTCTTTGTATTCTGTATGGCATGAAAAAGCTCTTGGAGAGTTTCACACTGGAAAATAATATAGTCTGGCTTAGACTTTTAAACTACAACTGTGGCTATACATGAGAAGTTGGATTGAAGGGGTCAAGAGTAGATCAGTAGTGCATGTGAGAGTGGCTTGATATTGAATATGCAGCAGTAAGAATAGACAGAATTAGAAAATTAAGGATGGTTTCTGGAGGCAGCATCTAGAATATCTGCTTAGGAATTACATATTTGGATCGTGGTTAAAGAAACCAAAACAACTACCTTATGCCACCTACCCAATACAATTGTCCAAATATCATTTGCTCTTTAACTCACCACTGCCATGCTCCATATGCCCTGCAAGAAGAGTATTTGTGTGAAGGGATCACCTCTACTTCCCTAGCTATTCTTAGATCTTTGAAAATATTATCCTTTCCATTAGTCTAGGTCTTGCCCCACTTCCTATGGTTGGCTGTGCTTTGTCTAACTTTACTGCAAAAGTCTTCCCTTCCCAGTAACCAATCTCAATTTAAACCAAGGCTTTTACAATTCTTTCTCATTCCAATATAGTTCCCTGGGGCACCCAGGCAGAATGTGAATGATTTGGTTATACCCTGAAAATGGTACACCATCCAGATTATTCCCTGAAATATCAGAGATTTACCCATTCTCTTCAGATCAAGGCAACTGAAAACCCTCTCAGAACAGATCTAACAAAGTTTCAGAGTCTAATTATACAACAATTACCATGTCAGAGCCTGCATATGGTCTGTACTTAGACTCCTAGAGAACTACAGCTTCTGGATGGTCTTTCTACTTTAGGGACCCTTTCTGAATAAACAAAGCAATTGGCTTAATAAAAGCAATACTTATTCTCCTAGTTATGTTTTCTGAATAAATTATGATTTCAAGTCAAGTATAATTTATCACCTTCAATAATCTCAAGTCAAGTATAATGTATCTCCTTCATTAGATTGAAGTTCTGATAGAGCCTTCAAGTGTCCTGAGTAGCTTGCTAAAGGTGGAGATAAGAGATGGCAGTGTGCTATAGTTTGTAGAGTGAAGGCCCTTAATAAAGGCCAAATTTTCATCTTGAGCAAGCCATTCTATGGGATTGTGGCTGGCAGCCTAATAATATACTGTTGGGCTCTAGGGGACAAATAAAGCAACATGAGATCTTTCTCCTTATTCCCTGACCTTATTGCCCATGAGTTGTTCCCATAAGACATTCCGGATTGCCTGCACAGTATTTCTTCTTGTAGGGGTCTGTTGTGCTTATTTAAAAATAAGCTTACCTCAACTTTTCAGAATGACTTCAACTTTCAGTTTTGATTTCAAAACAACATTTATCCACGACTATATTTTTAACATATCATTTATGGCATATAATTGTTCTTTTGTCCTTTAAATGCACACTAAATTTTAGGTCTGGTATTCTAAAGCCAACAGTATTTAGAAATAGTCTTACTGGAGTAAGCTTCAAGCACAGCAAGAAGATACAAGCCTTCCTTGGAGATAGTGCAGGTTCACTTCCAGAACACTAGAGTGAAGCGACTAACGCAATGAAACACATCCAATGAACTTTTGGTTTCCCAGTGCATATAAAAGTTATGTTTACACTACACTTTAGTCTATTTAGCATGCAATAGTATTATGTCTAAAAATGTACATACCTTAACTAAAAATACATTATTGCTAAACAATGCTAACCATATTTGAGCTTTCAGCAAGTTGTAATCACTGATCAAAGATCACTGTAACAAATATAATAACAAATACATTTGA